GTGTGTGTGTGTGTGTGTGTGTGTGTGTGTGTGTGTGTGTGTATGTGTGTGGAGTGTAAGTGGCACACATGTGCCATAGCATGTGTATAGAGGTCAGAGGACAACTTTTGGGAGTAATTTCTTTCCTTTCACCATGTAGTTGCCAAGGATTGAATTCAGGTCATTTGGGCTTGGTGGCAAGTAAGTGCCTTTACCTGCTGAGCCATATTGCTGGCCTGAGTCCTCTGCTTTTTGATGCACTTGTAAGCTTTGGGTTGACAGAAAGGCTTGAAAAGCCATTCATCTACATCAACCGTTTCGCTTTGTAGGGCACAGAATGTAGGTCTGCCTAAGTTCACAGGGGTATTTGGTGCCTTTTATCAGGATGCTAATCCCAGAAAAGGGGAGGGAAAAAGAGGGAGTGCAAGGGGAATTGGGAACTGAGCTTGTGTGACTTGCTTGCTCTATTTTGGGCTTGGCCTTCTGGGCCTGAAGACAATGTGCAAATTGGTTTCTGGCATGGCCATGGCTGTGACCACAGTGAAAGTTCATGGGCTGCTGGGCTGGGGCCTGCAGCAGCCACTCTAACAGCTACAATTAGATAAATAAGACTGGGCAAACGTGCAGGCTGGGACTCTATTACTGGCTATGATCTATGACACCAGAGCCTTCATTATGTTGGCAGCACTGGCTATTTATAACTGAGGGCCAGGAGGCCTCCTGTGTGCTCTGGTTTTCTTCCACTGATCCCGAACAATAGGCAGCCTTTTCAAGGGTATGGAGAGACCATGAACTTCTCCAGCGTTATAGTCTGCCTCTGACAGCACAGCCTCTGTTTCCAGGGCCCTTCCACACCTCTTCTACCACCATTTCCCTTTGGCTTAGATTGAATTGTGGCTCTTGGTGTAAGAGCCTGGGGAAAGCTAGCCTCCAAGGTAAAAGATCCAGGAAGTACCTAGAAAGACTCATTCTTGTATCTGAGGTGGAGAGACCCTTGAGCAGATGTCAAGGTGTGATGTTTGTGGCTCTTCCTGCAAGGAGGAAACCCCATAGCCAGCATCTGGGATCCCAGGGTAGCACTTACCTCCTCACCATTCTGGCCCAGCTCTACCTTGGGGGGGAACAGGGGGAGGGAGCAAGGTGGTTTCCTTCTTGTTGGTTTACTGGCTGGTGTCTAGAGGGGGAGTGACAGACGACACAGAGAGAAAAGAGAGGCAGTGAATCGTGCAATAGGGAGGAAGAGGAAGGAAGGGAGACCGGTGTTAGGCGTGGTTAGGGATGGCTAAGGAGAAAAGAATGGTGATGGAGCTGGCTGTCTCGGGGCTGTCCTGCTGAATGAATTAGCGCCATGCATCCTCACTATCTCCTTCCCCTTCCTGTTCAGCACTAATGTCCTCCGAGGTCCCCGGACCTGAGCCAGCCTCTCAAGATGACATCCACAGTTTGCCTTTGTGACCCTGAGGCAGAACCAGTCCCTTAGATCAATGCACTTCCTTTGTCCTTGGGCGCATTCCTCTGTTTAGATATCAAGGGTTGATTTTATTTTTAGTTGAGAAAAGTGCAAAATTATGTATGAAAAAGAACAAGGCAGCTGCGCTGTCACAGTCGTGGGGCCACAGCAGACCTTTCCACCTGGGGACTTTCCCTCCCTTTTACTTTAGTTACTGCTGTTTGAGAGAGGCCTCGTCCTTATGTAACTGAGGGTGACCTTGAAGTCTTAGTCCTCTTTCATCTAACACTCTAGCGCTGAGATCACAGGCATGCACCACCATCACCGCCCGGCCTCAGCTCACTTTTTTGTTTTGTTTTTGTTTGCCAAGACAGGGTTTCTCTGTGTAGTTCTAGCTGTCCTGGAACTCACTCTGTAGACCAGGCTGGCCTCAAACTCAGAGATCCACCTGCCTCTGCCTCCCCGAGTGCTGGGATCAAAGGTGTGCACCACCAATGCCCAGCCTCAGCTCACTTCTAATGGGAGCCATGCACTGCACGACTGAGACAATCTAATCCAATTGTCCAACGTCATAACACTTTAAATTTTTTTTTCTTTTTCAGCAAGATTCTTCTAGAATCCTCTGGTCCTACATTCCTAGTTTTCTTTTGAAATGTGCTTCCTTCTAAACCCTCAGTTCTGGATCTGAAGCAGCCTTGCCTATCTTCTGTTTCCTAGGCTAGAAGCAGGTGCTGGGGAGTTCTTTACTCTGAACCCGGCCAGGCTGGACAGAGGGGTACAGAACCCATCAGTATCAGTGGAAGCTCAGGATGAAATGGAGTCCACACTCTGCCTGATTTTCACCCCTGCTCGCCACCGTGGGAGCTTGACTCTGGTAGAGCTCAAGCCAGTGGTGGCACATTCCACACATTCAGAGGGACCCTCTCTGGCTTCTCTTCCTAATTTGGTAATTGCCAAGGTTCCTCCTGCCCTCTTTCTCCTCAGGGCCTGACAGGCTTCCCCTTCCTCCAGGCCCTTCCTGGAAAAGGATGCATCACATCTCCAGACTTACCTCCCTGGCCACAGCTGCCTGCTCCCGAAACCGCCCAGCCAGCTGGGCCACGGAAGGCTGCGCTGAGCTGTCCACATTGGACTTGGTCTCTGCCGATCTTTCCTGGCAAACAAAGGAGAGGCAAACGTTAGTCAGCAAGTGCACACTCTACTCTTCGAAGGGTCAAGTAGGATGCTATGAAAGGCACCTGTTTTGCAGGTCCATCAGGAATTCTGTGACAAGATACTTTTAACAGTATTTTGCAATTCCAAGATTCAAGATTAAAAACAACTACACACACACACACACACACACACACACACACACACACATGCACTATTCGGTCATCTACATTTAGTGGAGTAGCTACAATGTATTGGGGTTCCAGATGTGCCCCTGGCGACAAATAAAACAAGGCCTTGTCCTAGACAGGAGCTGAGGGACAGGAGGCAGTCAGGGTAGGGTCTCTCATTTTGCAAAGACTCACCAGACACAGGAAGTATCAACAATAGTCTGCAAACCTCCTTCCCCTGTTTAATGACTCTGAAAAATGGGGGTGCAATGGGGTGGCAAATGCATTTGGAGCCAGGGTCTCTGTAGGAAACAGAAAGAGCATTTGCCCTTTCTAGAATTTTCACATCCAAAGGTATGCTATTTTGTTTTCCCTACTTAAGTGAATGCCTTGGGTAATAGTGACCATTTATTAAATTAATGAATGACATAAGAGGCAATAGCAGAAAGGATGAGAAAGGGCTGCTGGGTCTCAGAGACGACCTGCTCCACCCCCTCATTGCTTCAGTGGCCTTGGCAGGGCAGGGGTGGTGTCAGTATCTCTCTAAAGGCTGCTCTGGGTTTGGCGGCTGAATATATAATGGCTGTGGGGGTTGGGAGCACAAGGAACAGGGTTGTCATTATGACTGGCTGTGGCTTCAGCCTTCAGTCCTGGTCATTAGTTTATTGATATTTCAAGATGCCCGAAGGGCACCGTCCATCCCATCTGCCACTTGTTAGCATGACACAGAGGGTGAGTTACTGACCTTGGAACCAGCACCTCATTCCTGCTACATACACACAGTCTACATAATGACCTGGTTTTGGGTTTACTATCTCTCCTCTCTGATGCAGGGTCTTGTTCTGTAAACTAAGCTGACCTTGAGCTCGTGATCTTCCTACCTTTTCTTCCTGGATTGTTGGCATTATAGGTGTGTACCACCATAGCCAGCTCCTCCTGTGTTTTCTTTTTAAATTTAAAAAGACACACACACACACACACACACAGAGAGAGAGAGAGAGAGAGAGAGAGAGAGAGAGAGAGAGAGAGAGGGTCAGAGGACAACTTGAAGAACGGCAAGCTGGACTCACAGCCAGTCATAACAACAACAACCGGGCTCCTTGTCCCTCCCAACCCCCACAACCATTAAATAGTCACCAAACTCAGACAGCCTAATGAGAGACACTAGCACCGCCCCTGCCAAGGCACAGACTGTTGAAATGAGAGAGATGAAGCAAGCCTCTGGTTGAGTTCCCGAAGCCCAATCATTCTGTCTGCTCCTTGTAGGAGTCAGTTCCTTCCACCTGTGTGTCCTGGGAACTGAACTCAGGTTGTCAGGCTTGGTGGCAAACATCTTTACCTGTTGAACCTTGAACCATCTTGCTATCCCCACTTCTTGGGGTTTTTTGTCTGTTTGGTTTTTTGTTTTTCGAGACAAGGTTTCTCTGTATTGCTTTGGAGGTTGTTCTGGAACTCGCTCTGTAGACCAGGCTTGCCTCAAACTCACAGCTGTCTCTGCTTCCGGAGCGCTGGGATTAAAGGTGCGCACCACCAAAGCCCGACTACCTTTTGGGTTTTTTATTTGGTGGTCTTATGTGCTCAACCCTAAAGCTATTAGGCTTTTTCTTTTTTCTTTTTCTTTCTTCTTTTGTCACCATGATGGTTACACTTCTTAACACAGACAGAGAACCTTCTCCCTCTCCCTTTGTCTTAGAAAGACTTGGGTAGCAGTTGGAGAAATTCCACCTGTCTCCCCATGGGTATCATGGTGTCTGAGATGGTTTATGCTGCGCTCCAGCAATAAGCATACATCTTCATGCCACTTACACCCCCGTGCACAGACTTTACCGAGACCCTCCTTCTGCTCTTAAAAGTGTTTCCAAGTGTTTTGAATTGGCCCCTGCTGCCTCCCAGCAATCATGTGCAGTAAACATAGCTGGTTGGAAAGGAAACTTGTGCAGATGTAGGAAGAATGAATGGAGCCTGGGACCTGCTGATGTGAGTGGCTGTTCTGGGGCCAAAGTCAGGTGCTTCGCTCCTGTTGCTGTGTCACTAAACACTACCATTGATTTCAAGGTGCCGGATTTCCCCCAAGTTGCTGGGAAAGCCCTGGAAGCCTGAATGTTCCCTCTGAAGATGCTGTTTGAATGGGCTCAGGACTGGTCCCTCTCTGATCTTCCCACTGGCCACGTGAGTAGTGGTCAGAGACACACACTTTGCTGCCCTGGAGCATCAGAAAGGCTTCAGGGACAGAGTGTGTTGAGTTGAGTTGCCCTTGGCAAAGATGTGGAACGATCGGTTTGTTCATCTGTCTGGCTTCCTGCTACACACCAGTGTGGCCTCTGTCCACTGCTATTTATGACTCCAGCCCTGCTGACAGTGCACCTACCTCAGCTTCGAGGCGCTGAAGGCTGGTGGTGCAGTGAGAGACATTCCAGTTAAAAATAGAGCCTCAGAGGGATAAAAAACACTGGAACTTCCCTGTCTCAAGATGTGCTTGGCAAGGGTCTCAGCAGCAGGGGAACGGAAGGCTTCTGGAAGCACTTAGGGCTTACAGGTTGGGTGAAAGGAGATTCTAATACAGAGTTTGTTTCCCTAAGTCCCCTAGCTATTGAGTTTTCTTCAACCAGCAAGGCTTCTCACCCCCCACCTATCTCCAGAACACCTCATTTCCTGAATTCCTGAATGCTGACAGATGAGTGCTATGCTCACTGAAGCCCAGAGGCACTCATCATTTAGCCAAAGACACATAGGAGAAACCAAATGGAATTAACCATGGAATATTTGACCCTGGCACCCAGCAAGGGCCACAAGTTAAGTAATATATCCTGTGAAAGCACTTTAAGAACTGTAAAGGGCTATTATGTAAGTATCAAAATTATTATTAGCTACTGAGTTGCACAGGCGCAATGGAGGAAGCATGATCTACAGGCTGGTGGCTTAGCCCATGAGCGGCTTGCTTCCATCTTGCATTGCAATCCTAGCCACAAAGCTCCTTCAGTGGGTGCAACAGCTTGCAAGCCCATCCCAGGCTGGAGCTCCCACTGGGCCTTGAGGTTAACCTTACAGTTACATGCTCTAGCTACTCTTAAATACACTATGTAGCTGAGATGACCTTGAACTTTCTTGTTTTCATGACAATGTTTCTCTGTGTAACAGTTCTGGCTGTCCTGGAATTGGCTTTGTAGAGCAGCTGGCCTTGAACTCACAGAAGTCCACCTGCCTCTGCCTCCTGAGTTGAGGGATTAAAAGTGTGCAATACCATGCCAGGTGATCTTGACTTTTGACCTCTGCTTCCTCTCTCCAAGTGCTGAGATTACATGCATTGAACACAATGGCCAGTTTTATGCAGCACTGGGAAATGAACCCAGGGTTTTGTGCATGCTAGGCAAATACTCTACCAACCGAGCAACATTTGCAACCCATGCATTCTGGGTTCCAAGATAGACTTCAGTTGGAAACCCTGCTTGAAACAAAACAAAAAGAAAAACAAAAAAGAACTTCAGTGTTTCTACCTCCTTTTGGGCATTCCCAAGACCCTCAGCCTTCCTGGATCATAAAGTACTTAGCCTGAAGTGTAGACCGATCATCAGAGTTTGGTTCCTTTGGCCCCCTCTCATTCAGCCCTATCTGCCAGTGTAGGACCTGGACACCTTCCCCTACAGTCCTTGACACCCTTAACTCACCCATGGACCACACCCAGTTGCAGCCTCAGCCTCCTTGACATCCTCCTGGGCCTGAATCTTGCTTGCTACACCCTTCCTGTCACCAAGCAAGCCTGGCTCTGCCAGCTACCTTTGAGACCACAGTTGCAAGAATGTCTGACTCTGCTGAGGCCAGGAGAAAATCACCTGTGGTGTTTTCTTTCCGTGTCTGTGGGATTTTCTGAGAACTGAGGAGCCTGTGTCTAGACTGTGTGGAACTTCCTGGATGCCGTTGCCATGTCGAGTAAATACAATTTGGAGGCTGCTGACCATCCACATAGTAGAACCTTTGTGTATGGGCCAGAAGAAGGCCCTGCTACCTCTCTGACTCTGCCCTGCTTCTCCACCCTCCTTGTTGTTCCAAAGTCAATGTGCCTAATAGTCTCTGGGCCACAGTTAAGAGGAACAAGGTGTGTTGGGAAGCCTGATAGTGCATTGCAATGAGAGATCTGTGCTTGAGGGTGGAAGATCTTTTGCTCTTATCCAATAATAAGGTTTCTTGTTTATTAGAACAGTGAACCAAGAGCATCAAAGGCATAAATGATGCTTGCTGCTTTGGTCCTCCAGAAAGGAAAAGGGTCTTAAGAGCTATCTCCTAGGAAGTTTCCATCCCTTACAAAGCGGCTTCACCAATACTTGGGAAGGATCAGTGTAGCATCTTAGGGTGTTCTTTTTGTTCCTAACTCTTCTGTTTATCCCGATTCTTCCCTCATTGCCATCCTAGGATAATGGAGAGGTTGCTGGACCAGAATAGGCAGGTCCACTTGTCCTGCCTGCCTCTGTGGGTACTGTTCTTAGAGCAGCGGCACACTGATTTTTGCCTCTTCTAGGGCACAAAAGCGGAACTAAATGTGTAGGAGAGTAACTTTCTATTAAGTGAGTAAGTGATGGCCTGGAAACCACCTGAGTTCTGGAATGCCAGCTTTTCCCATACCGCTGGCCCCACTAACCCCACCCTTTCACTGGAGGGTGTGTCTCTGTCTCTTCTCATCACAGACCCTGTTCTAGGCTCTGAGTGTAACAGTGAACAAGGCAGAACTGTTGCCCTTCCAGAATTGAGTGGGGATAATCTGGGCACAGAGTTGGGTGGGGAGGTAGGGGGTTGGTCAAAGTGAGTGTGGGCCAGCCCCATGGATACACTTTTACAA